AACAAAGTTTTGTTGATAACAAGAGCGAGATACGGTAGGATGCAACGAAACAGGTTGGGTGATTATGATGATGATGATGATGATGATAATGATGATGATGATGATAATGATGATGATGATGATGACGACGAATCGGCCTATGAGTTGAAATTTAAAAATTGAACTAATGATGAAAAAATCTTGTCGATGATAATGATGTTGCTGTCGAATTGAATTGTTGCTATTGACGATTGTTTTTATTGCTGTTGTTTGATATGTTGTTGATAGTAATTCCAAAAGCAATGCTACTGATGAGGTTGTTAATGATGATGTTGTTGGTGATGATATGATAGTGTAGTGTAGTTGGGGATGGTGTAGTTGGTGTGATAGTTTAGTTGATGATGATTAAATTGTTTTTATGTGACAGATGATGAAGTTGCCGTATAGGATATTTTTACTAGTAAGGTTCTTAAAAATGTTGTAAGCGTCACATATGTTTCATTGTATGTATGTTAAGTTTAATTTTTGGCACAATGAATCACAAGTTAATTTTCACGGCATATTGCAAAATTTGTTGCTAACTGCATGTTGCATGGGTTGCTATGAACTGATGCGTTGTGCCAAGCTTTACTGATATGCAGACAACAGCTGTCGATGAATTGTGCTGGTGAGGATGTCTTGAGAGCATTCCACATTCTTTATAATTGCTTTATAATGCACGCAAGTTCACTTTTTTGTTAGAAATTTTCATTCGAACAAACAACTTGTGGAAGCAAGAAGCATGTTGCGTGTTGGATTCTTTCCAGAAGTTATTGCAAAAATTGCAGGACTTCTCAAAAATTATAATTGGAATTGAAAAGCAAAATAATTAATTTCATGCTGATTCTTTCCTATACAAAGGAAGTTTCTATTCTTCAAAAATACACCTCGTACTTTCATTTGAAAATTAATAACAAAAAAATCAAATTTTGTAAACATTGAAAAAGTTAATTTTTTTAATTTTTATCATAGTTTTGTTAATTCCATTTTATTTCCATTGTTGTAAATTATTGATTGTTTTGGCTTCCGTTAAGAAAAGTAATGAATTTTAGTGCAAGAAATTTTTAAAATTAAGGCACGCAATTATCTCGTTCAACAATGGAAATTAATTTTAATGATGAATTTTCATTCAATGCAACATTTTTATTTCATTCTGTCGAAACCGAATTGTGTCTTTGGAAATCAGTCAAAATTTCCTCCATCCATTGTTGGCCATCCTGTTTCAGGCTCCTAACAGCTTTCATTCACAAATATATTGTGCGTTTTTTATCAATCATTTTGTTTATTTATTTTTGTTTGAACATTCAATTACTGAAATTTTATATAAGGGCGCCAAAATATATAAATTTCAGTCAGGGTGGCAAGTGAGGGGATTGTTCGGGGTGCACTTCGGAGGTTCTGCGTCACTCTGGTCTGTTTAACAGTATTAATGTTGAGTAGTAAGGTAACGAGTGTTCAATCATTTTGATGAACTAAATTTTTTATGTTCCTAATATTTTGATTGAGCATTAAAATTTTCAAAGTTTTGGTAATGTTGTCAAAAAATCTCTAAACACATAAGCACCTTTTACCAACTGAGAAGGAAGTTTGTACTTTCAAGCCGGCCAATGAAAAATTTGTTTCAAACAGCAGTTGACGAGGACAATCTTTTGGCAGACTGTCTATCCTTCTCTGAGACAAAATTTTCTTACAACAACTTTCTTATATGCAAAGCCTTTTTTGTAAACAAATTTTTATATACAGGAAAGTTCTCAAACGTGGCATGGCACTCGTACCCACCCACATCTCTCTTACAGCCACCTCCTTTACTGCAGTCAAATTTTTGACTATAGCCAAGCTCTTATTTTCACCTTGTTTCATTTGCTGACAAGTTTTGTTCTGCAGGCAGTCTCTTGTTTGCAGTTTGTTTTTTGTATGCAGCCGAGTCGGGTTAGAATTGTTATGTGGCATTTCAAGTGACTGTGGAGAAATTGTAAACGTTTTATAAATCATTTCTTTTATAAACATTTCTTATTTGCAAGTTTAATTTGCTTTCGATTGCCCAACGATGTATGCTTGTTTTCGTCACTGTTGAATATTATTGATCAGGACATTCGAGCGATGATATAGCTCAAACGCAAGCATGTAATGTTTTTTGTTTAGACAAGAATTACGTTGTGTTACATCACAATTACACCCACAACACCACCACCATCATATTGCCTCGTAATTCGTGAGAATCACATTGAACGGCAGCACATTTTACGTAGGCAGCGCACGATGAACAGCTCCATGAAAACGTTCGTTTTATTATTATTTTTTTTCTTTCTTAACAGGTGTGTTTCTAAAAGTTACGGCCATCTTGGATGCGGAAATGACGTCACAGAAAAATTTGAATCTTTTTGTTCCGGAAGAGGAAGTTGTTCAATAAACGTTATCTCCATGCATAATCTTTTGAGTGGGGTCTGTCCGCCCGACCTCAAGGCGTACTTAGAAGTCGCTTTCATATGCGTTGATGGTAAGTAAATGAATGAATGAATGAGCAAACGAGCGAACAAACGAATGAATGAATAAATAAATGAATGAATGAACGAATGATGAAGATGATGATAGATGATGACGAAGGTGATAACGAAGACGATTCAGACAAAAAGTGAATGGATGGAGAGAAGGACGAAGCATGCACACATGAACGCTGATAGACAGAACGATGGAAAGCTATAAGTAATTGTACAAATAAATGAGTAAAACGCTTATTTATTCATCTGCCATTCGACAGTTCTCCGCCTACCCGATCAATACAACGACAACTCACAAAACACTTTTTTATTATCATCATCGTCGCCATCACCCGACTTGCCAACAAAATTTTCTTCATCTGCGGCTAAGTGCCTAACTAATGACTTGATTGAATTTCAAAATGACGAACACAAGCGAGCCTCATCATCGTCATTACCACCATCGTCACCAGCAACGCCATCCTTTCATTCTTCTACATCTATTTCGTCGTCAGTTAGTTTGGATTTTTCTCGGATGGGTTACTTAGCCAGCCACACGTGGTACAACAAACTTAAGCCGTCATCATCATCACAATCATCACAACAACCATCATCGCCATCACCATCATCATCATCTCCGTCATTACCACCACCGTTTTCATCTCTACTCATTTGTCCCTGGTTGCTCGTGGCATCTGATCACCAACGTTTCAAGTTCACACTCATCGACTTCTCGCAACCCCACCTCATAACGGCAGCCCCCACCACCACCACCACAACACCCACATTCACCAAACAACAACACGACTCAAAGAATAAAAGTTGCCTCCGTTACGCCACCATCACTGAAGGCAACCACCTCCGACGCAAGTTTGCCAAAGAACCGCATAGCGATTCAACCGACTACTTAAACTCCGAGAATCGGAACGACGATGGAGCACTCGGTAATTTTCCAACGGGCAGACGACTCGATACTTCACTGCCACCCGACGTGACGACTGAACACCACGTATGTCGTGAGAATTCCCGCGAAATGTTTGTTTACATTTCGAGAACCAATCGCGTCCAGGTTTCTATAAATAGCGACCAACGAAATTACTTCCTACTTAAATACCAAGGTTATAAATATTATGTTTAGAGAAGATGTGAAAATAATTTAGTTTTTCTGTTTTTTTAACATTTTTAAGTTGCTTAGCAGAGTTAAATACGTTTGTTTTATGTACTTTGAGACCTGGAGGAGGTATGGAAAGAAATTTATTGCATGCATTTGAATTGATGCGCCAACAATCAACGTGTTTTGTTTCTCTTCTGTTCTTATATGTTCTGTACGTTCAAATTATTTTTTACTTGTAATCCAGCAACACAAATCTGTTGCAATGAAAAAGTATTAAAGAGAAGAATGAGCGCAATTAATCCCAGCAAGCAAACAAACGCCTTGATGAGATTCATTCTAAAAAATACGTACATACAAGCATACATACATATATACAAATATGCACATACATTCATGCATGCATGCATATATAAATACATTGTTATTATGCTATTATGTATGTATGTATTATTATTATTATTATTATTAGATGATTTATATAGCGCCCATTAAAAGGTTCTCATAGGCGCTTTCCAAGTATTTCGAACCTATTGCTAAAAATGAATGTCTTCAACTGCCTTTTGAAATGAGAAAACGACAAATTGCGATCACGCAAAGTTACCGGAAGATCATTCCACCCTTTTACTCCTGACCCTTATTTCAGTGCTGTCATCGGCTGCACTAATAAATCACAGTCATCTGATCTTAGACAAATCTTCTGGCCAGTAGTTGATTTGTACAGAAACCCATTAGACAAATATTGCGGTGCCAACCCATTCAACTTTTTATACATCAAAACACATATTTTAAACCATATTTTTTATGAACAGGCAGCCAATACAAATCCCGAAGTAGCGGGCTCATGTGATCAAACCATTGCCCACCAACAATGATTCTAGCAGCCCTATTCTGAACCATTTGGAGCATAGCAATTTCACGCCTAGCAATTCCATTGAATAAACCATTACAATTGTCCAACCTAAAATGTATAAATGAATGGATGACCGTACACAATGTTGTTTTGTTCAAAAACGCCTTTGCACGATTCAACATACGCAATTGAACTGTTTATGATCTAACCAAGTTTTAAACATGCATCTTCATAGTTAAATTTACATCAAATGTAAGTCCCAGCACCGTCGCTGTTTTAACAAAACCAACATCACCATCCCCTATTTTGATGGAGTTAACACCAATCCAAGACGTTTGTTGCCTGGTACCGATTGGTATGACCTGAGTTTTATCCTGATTCATTTTTATTCCATTTTGAGCCATCCACACATCAACAGCATTTAAACAACTTTGTAACTTGTTCAATAAATTATTCAACTCACAAACAGGCGAGACAGCAACCACTTGAAAGTCATCAGCATAGGCATAACTTTTTAAGTTAAATTTTTTTATTATATCTAAAACCTTAGCTGTATAACAGCATGAAAAGAAGCGAACCCCACACAGACCCTTGTGGGACACTAGACAACACATCAACAGCGTTTGACAAAATGTTATTATGATATACTTGATGGGTACGTTTATAAAAATATGTTTGTATGTAAGTATGTATATATGTATGTACGTTTGTATGTATGTATGTATGTATATATGTATGTATGTATGTATGTATGTATGTATGTATGTATGTATGTATGTATGTATGTATGTATGTATGTATGTATGTATGTATGTATGTATGTATGTATGTATGTATTATTATTATTATTGTTATTATTAATGATGGCTCAGTGGTTAAAGGCGCCTGGTCTTGCTATTGCAATGACTAGGTTCGAATACAAAGAGATCCCCGCCTATCATATGCAATGTGTATGATGCGTGGTTTGCACGTGTATTCATATACGCTGTGTGTGTTTGTTGAAACTTCTGAAGCAAACGCAAAAGAGAGAGAGAGAGTAACCTATAACCTTTAACCTTTTTTTATTATTATTATTATTCATTGCATTTAAAAAGTTCCCTTTTGAAAAAATAATCGTCACAGGCACTTCAAATCATCAAATGCTATTAAGAGCTGAACAGATGTTTTCAGCTGTCTCTTAAACTGACTTAGAGGAAAGTCACCACTGCGCAAAGTGTTTTGAAGGCTATCCCACAACCATGGTCTAACGACAGCAAAGCTTCGAGATCCAATTTGGAGGTTTGTCTTTGGCAGACACAAAAAATTTGTGCCATCCAAACATCTATGTCAGACAAACAATTTGCGAGTCGATCTGCAACCGATCCAAGCATTTCTGGAAAAGCTCTAGCTACAATCTAGATATCATCCGCATAAGTAAAACCCATAAAACCATATCTGTCAACAATTTCAAACACATTTGCAGTGTACAAAAGGAAAAAAATTGGTCTAAGAACGGATCCCTGCGTTACACCGTATTCCAGATAATCCTTAGTTAAAAGTACATTATTTGAAAACACCTCCTGGGATCTCCTACTAAGGTATGATTTAAACAATCTAAAGCCCTTCCAGACACTCTATAACTTAACTGCAGCCTTTGAGCGAGAACGCAGAACGTCCAATTTGACGCAAACAAATGCCGCACTCATGTCAAGTAGGGCCGCAACAGATATATTTTTGAAATCAGATGACTCACACAGATGCATAACTAACTGCAAAAGTGCTGCTTCCACTGAGTGAAACTTTCTATATCTAGACTGGCGATGAAGATTGTGATTTTGTAAATAACCAACAAACTGGTTTGCCATAATTTTTTTGACTACCTTGACACAGTCAATAAATTTGACACCGGTTTATAACTTGTGGGGTTATTGACATCATTTGACTGATGTTTAAGGAGTGGTTTTACTATTGCATGCTTAAACACAGAAAGAAATTTGCCAGTAGAGAAGCATAAACTAATTAAATCCGTTAGATATGGCAAAAATGAATCAATATGCTTTGTAAGCATCATATTAGGTATACAGTCAAGCCCACAGGTTGCAGATGCAGAACTCGCAACAATCGATCTAGCATAAAAATTTGAGCACTGGACAATAACCATGAAAACATATGAGTTAATTTTGTTCACAATTATAGGGGGTTTGCTATGAACCTTTATTGCTTTCTAAAATATTGTTCCTAAAATATTTAACAAAATTTTCAGCTACCAGTGCAGAACCTATTGAAGCATCAGCGGTTTTTCTGCATAAAATCATATTAATATTTTGCCATAGTTTTCTATTATCATTTTTATTTGCATTAATTACATTGGTCCAAAACGACTCTTTTTTAGGCGCAAAAATGTTATGTTTGTTTTTTATTGGATCAATTCATTGCTTTTTATCTTCATCACCTTTACGTTTTTTAAACATAAATTTTCCACAAACGCGATTTAATTCTTCGCATTGCCTATCGTACCGCGGTGCTGTGACTACATTTTTTATCTTAATTTCATGCAGTGGCGCAAGCTTATCAGCCACAATTTGCAACTCTCGATAAAATAAGAACGCCGCTTCATCAACATCATCATGCTTAAAATTATTAATTAGTGAACTTTTTATCTTAGAAATAGAAGTATCTGTATCAGCACGATTCCAGGATTGGAAATGTTTCGTCTCTGTCGAGTGAAATCGCTTATAGCCTGACTGTTGAATTGGCATGAGGCCGTTTTTTGTTAAATGAGTCAGCGGACTCTCAAAAATAACTCGTTCTATAATCTTTGAAATAAATGAAAGATTCAAGATTGGCCTGTGGTTAGAAAAAAATTTATTGGTCGAAACTGACACGAGACTGTGATCAGAGTGTATCCCGCTTGGATACACACAATAATTAGAAAAGCACATTACCCGTGGCAGCAAAATTAAATCAAGAGTGCCACCCAAAATATGTGTGGCCGCTTTTATAATATTGTGCAATGAAAACATGTCAAACAAATGACACAACGAAACTGTATTAAGTTCATACATTCTTTCGGCATGAATATCAAAATTGCCAAGAAGAACCAACTCATCACGGAACAAGTACAACTGCTCCGAAACTGTCAACAACTCATGAAAACACAGCGGACTGACCGGATCAGATTTAGGTCGATAGATAGCAAACAAAATTAATTCAACATCAACAAATTTAAATTTAATTGCAACAGCCTCGAACGAATTAAACTTGGTATCTCAAGTTTACTAGAAACCAAATTCGATCGAAAATAAACAATTATATCTCCAAGCTTAAGATCATTAGGCCTTAAAAAATCAGCAAAATTATAGCCCGAAGGCATAACCAACATTACAGAACTATCATTAGATGCACCATGCCACGACTCTGTAAGAACCAGGCTATCCAATCTTTCATATAACAATTGAATAATATTATCAACTTTTGAAACAAAAGATCTAATATTTAAAAATCCGAGGTTTATATTAGATATTTTAACATTGTCTTTGCTACTACCTTTACAGAATTCAAACTTATTATTAAATTGATGTTTAACATCATCCGCAAATGTTGCATTTGAGCCTTTTTTAACGAACACATTTTTTCATCAAAACTATTAACACCGAGAAATGTATGTATGTGTGTGTGTGTATGTGTATGTGTGTGTATGTGCGTATATGTGTGTGTGTGTTTGTGTTTGTGAGTGTGTTTATGATGCTTTCATCGGCATCAAATTATATTGAAGTGATTGAGTCAAAAAAACAAAAACTGCGTTATACACATAAGATAATGCAGTCGAGACAACAACAACAACAACAATACAATAACCACAACACACGAAACTACAATAACAAACATAAAATCCTTTCAAAACAACACTAACACACACAACAACAACAACAACACACGCACTCACAACAGCAACTCTAACACACACAACAATATCAGCTGACACAACAACTTCAAATGCAACAACACAAACAGAAGTTCAACACAAACGACGTCAACGTTAAGAGCAGTAGCAAGATAGTGTTGTACACATAACTTATCATCCGACTAACAAGCATTGTGTCCGCATTAAAAATTGCGTTTGAATATGTGCAACATTTATCCGTAACAGTTTCAACAACATTCAGAACATCATCAGTCTGCACCCTCTTATGCTACGTTGACATTTTAAAAAATTATCTCTAAAGCTGGTTTTCGCTTTCAAAATTTTGAACAATTTTAATTTAACGCAATAATATTTGATGAATTGTTCGTTGGAGTTGTAAAAAATGAATTAATAATTTGATAAATGTTAAAAACTTGATGTAATATAATTTATAACGCCAACCACATCATGCAAACGTCATTACGTACAACAACAACAGCAACAACAATGAAAACAACAACACCTAACAACGTTACGTAACAGCAACAATAAAAAACTCAACAAAAATTTCAAAAAGCCAACAAAGTGAAATTATAATAGTATCAATAATAATGATGAATACGCCAACATCACAACAATGGTGGCAACAATACAAAAACATCTAAACAAAACATCCCATCAAAACAACAACAACAATAACACATTAACATCGCAGCAACAACAACATCACAACAACAACAAATATACTCTGTTAGTAGTTGACTTTATAAATCAGAAGCTCAATCCACTTAACTTTTTGTTTATTAAGCATTCTAAAAAAGCGTTAGAAAGATGGGTTGTTGTTGGTTTGTTGTTGTTTTGCTGATGTTTTTAGTGTTGTTGGTGTTGTTTTGTTGTAATTTTGTTGTTTTTGTCTTATAATATTAGTTTTGTTGTTTTTTGCAATATTTGTTGCGTTGTTGTCGTCGTCGTTGTTTGATAGTTAGTGTTGACTTGTATACATCTTATATTTCTACTCTTGCTTTAGCCGTTGGAAATTTATTTGTAGTTGTTGTTGTCATTTTTGTTGTTGCTTTTGTTTGTGTTTTTGTTGCCACCGTTGATTTTGTTGTTTTTTTTGTAAGTTTTTGTTGTTGTTGTTGGTGGTGGTGAGTTTATTGTTAAATCACGTGTAGTTGCGAGAGATACTGTGTTATGTTGTTGTGCTGAGTGCTCGAACGTCCAACATATGTTTAGGATGGTGTTTTATTTCAGTTGAAACCTCCTAGGAATGTTGGAACAAAAATCAGACTGGATTTTGGCGAGAGTTGAATCGAATTTGAAAAACTGGCTGAAGTATGGACGTAAGTATCGTGGTAGTCTCACGATTTTTTAATTGACACCCGAAAGGTTCGTGGTATCAATGTTGTTGATTATTTTAAAAAAACTACTTTATCTGGGTTCTGATAATGCGGAAAATATGTAGAAAAATATGATTGTGTCTGTGTTAGTCTTGCCATTCGTGCTGTTTAAATGATTTGATTAGCTTCAGACACCTTTGACAATTTTCCATGATTTTATTTGCTTCCAAATTAAAATTTTTATGATTTACAAGTTCAATGATCTCTATCTATCAACTAACCAGCGGATAAAACAACTAATCAATCAACTAATCATCAACCGAGTAGCTAATAAATCAACCAAACAATCAACCAAACAACCAACCATCCAATAAACCAAACAACTTTTTGTTTTACCAACCACTCAGTCTAATAACCAATTGGCTTAACAATTAACCAACTAATCAGTCCACTGACTAATCAACCAACCAATCAATCAACTAATCAACCAGCCAACCAACCAACCAACCAAACAATCAACCAAACAATCAACAAATCAATCAATCAACCGATCAGCCATCCGACCAATCAACCGCAAACCAAATAGGTCCGACCAATTTACTTTTAATCAATAATTTGGCATAAACGATTCACCTAAAAATATAGCTCCCTCCCGATAAATATTATGAAATATATAATAACAACAATAGACATAATAACAATGACGGATATAATAACAGCATAGATATAATAACAAAGAGTAATTTTAAACATTTTTTTACTTTATTTTCCAATATTAAAAATTTTTTGTTTATTTTGATAAGTTTTATTGTAATAAACAAAACAGCATTAACAACAACAACATTAACAAAAACAATAACAACAATAATAATAATAAATATGGATAAGAATGTAGAGCAAGCAAAACAAAGAGACGTGATGTACGTTGGTATGCGGCGAACTTTGACCTTTACATTAATGTTACTAATCATGCGCTCTGCCCGGCTAAATGTTCGTGATGTATTGTCTTGGCACACAATTATTGTTCTTTGGTGTCACGTTGTTCACTTTGTTGTTGTTTTGTCGTTATTCGCCGTGTTTCTGTTTTGTTGTTGTTCACCGTGTTGTTGTTTTGTTGCTTTTTTTGTTGTCGTTTACTTAGTTGTTGTTCATCTAGCTTTTTTGTTGTTGTACATCTTGCTTGTTTGTTGTTCACCTTGCTTTTTTTTGTTGTTCACTTTCCATTGTTGTTCACCTTGCTGTTTATATTGTTTATCTTGTTGTGTTTGTGTTGTTGTTCAGTTTGTTTTTTATGTTGATGTTCACCTTGATAATTGCTTCTTGTTCTTATTTTTTATTTGGTGATGCTATAGTTTTTGTTTATGTTGTTTTGATCAAATTGTGGTTCTTGTTGTGTGTCACTGTTGTTGTTATTTTTATTGTTGTTGATGCTGTTCTTCTAGTTGTAGTCGCTCGCAATTGACCGATCATTTTTTCCCAGTCTCCTCAGAAACTCTGCCAACTCTGCGGCCTTCATCGGGCTCTCACTAAATTCAGCGAATTCACCATACCTGTTCTTCATCTCTTTCATGGCCCGACATTCCATTCAAAGGTTTTAAGCCGATTCTTCTGCATCACTTCACAATCTGTATTCATTTTCACTTATTAGGCTTATCCAAGCCGCTTTCACATTTTTATTATGTGCCTCAAAACTGTTTAGCTTCTCCAATTTTTGAATGCTATCTGAGTTCTTGTTGTTAGAGCTCTTTAGCATTATGATGGATAGGCCGTCTGCTACTATTGCTGCAGTTTTCCATTCATTATTTCTTTGGAGCCATTCTGTACTGTTTTCTATTGCTCTGCACCAGCTTCCGGCATGTACTGTGGTTTTATTGACCCTTGTAAGCAATCATTGCTGCTCTTCCTTTTTTCATTGCTGGCTCGGTCTACTGAATCATCAGTTTATATTACTACATCATATTTTTCCATCTCCGATATTACCTCTTTAACTACTCGTCTTTTCTCTTCTAGTGAAGAGTTTATTCCTGTTTTGGCCAATATGGTCTTGATAGGTCTGAGTCTCCAATTTAAAGTGTTTGAGGTACTATCTTTCGGTTTTCGGAACGGATCAATTGGTTTGTAGCATGCTTTGCATCAATCTTTTATCTTGATGCAAAGTGTAGCGTTTTTTTGCTGTTTTCTTCCTAATGTTTTTTGCGGTCAACATGAGCAATGTGAGGATTTTTAATATCCCAGTCTTGTCCAGCCTGGTTTACAAAGGTCCTAGTTGAGCTTCTATCATAACTGATTCTTTTGGTGCACTTTTCGTTACCTTGGTTATTATCCTTACTGACTTGAGTTGATGTGATCCCACTTTCTCCATATGAGACTTTGCCATGCGTTTTCTGCCACATTTCTTTGTAGCGCTATGTAGGTTGTTGTTGTTGTGTTTGTTGTTTCAAAGCAGATGAGCAAAAGTTTGATGTGCCATGTTTTGTTGTGGTATGTCGTAGCAAGTTGTTTTGTATATTGTTTTGTGTTGTAGTGTGTGTGTTTGTATATGTAAGTGTGTATGTAATGAATGTATGTGTGTATGTTTGTTTGTTTGTGTGTGTGTGTGTGTGTGTGTGTGTGTGTGTGTGTGTGTGTGTGTGTGTGTGTGTGTGCATGCGTAATGCAAGTTGATATTTTTATGTGTTTGTATTACATTTCTATGTTATTGTTAGTTGTGATTTTGTTGTTGAGTTTCAAAATATTTAAAATATTTTTTTGCTCGTTATTAGATACGTTCTGTTGTGTTCAATGTTTAATTGCCAGATAAGTTTGAGTCGTGTGTAATATTTTAGTTGCATGCTGTTGTTGCATAGTCTCGTTGCTTGACCTTGTTGCACGGTAGAGTGTTGCACGACAATTCTGTTATTGAGTTCGATATAAAAAATAAAATGAAGGTGGTGATGGTTTGGTAGGTTGTTTGATGAGTTCTGCCGGATATTTTTTCATACCAGAGCTGGCGACGTTCGAAGAAGTGAAGAAGTGAAGTGAAGTGAAGAAGTGAAGAAGTGACTTGCATTTAATCAGTCATTTGTCAGCTGGTCCTTTGATTCGTTCTTATTATATTATTTTTATTGTTATTATTATTAAAGTTATTGAATCTTTTTTTGTTTCCTGTTTAGTGATTTTCGGTTTTGATTTTTTTAGCTTTAGAGCTCCTTTAAAATTGTTTCGTGATGTTTCATCATTCTCGTCATGATGACGTCATTGTTATAATTTTTTCACCGTCGCCGTCACTTATTATTTTTTTTTATATAATCTTGTTTTCATTGTCCTCATCATTATCATTATTGACAAAAATATCATTCGTTATCATAATCATGATCGACACTAATATTCATCATCATTGTCATCATCGTCGTCGTCATGAAAACTAACACTACTATCCTCATCGATACGTGCAGCATTGCATACAACTAGCTACAACTGACACCATTGTCATCTTCATCATCATCCACCTCCTCATCGCCATCATACACATCATCTTTAACATCTTCACCATCTACACAATCATCATCGTCATCTCCATCTTTTTCATCATCATAATCGTCGTCATCATCATCATCTGCTTCATCAGTGATAGGTTGTCATTCCTTGATGCCACCAAGCGGATCCTGGGTTCAACTAATTGACCCGGACACATTGATTATCCACTGCAATCACTCAACCCAATCGACCCGATTAGTCTGCCAGCATTCCGTTTGGTCCGGCAAGATACCCAACTGCACCTCTTCCTCTTCCTCCTCTGGCGAACAATTCAGTAAATTTTTCCCCCCAAATTACTTCAACTTTTTGTATTCGATCGATGTTGCATGATTCGAAGAAAATAAAAAAAAATAAAATAATCCTGCCGAGTCTGCTTTATAACAAGAACATTTTCATGGCTGCTCTTTTTTTTCATTGTTTGTTGTTGGCGTTTTCATTAAAATTTTTATATTGCTTTGTTGTTTTTTATTTTCTCAAAAGACCAGTCAGTTTTTATTGTTTATAATTTCGATGAATGAATGCATGGCCTGAATGGAGACGCACAAGCAGGCACGTGTGCATTAAATTAGCACATGCAACTGTACATCCCCTCAAACAATGCAATAACACATTTAATTACGTGGACACACACACACACACACAAACACATGTACAGAAACGGATGTATGCACGTGCGTACATACAACACACTCGCAACTATATAAATATACACATGATCTATACACTCACATACACACACCCACACAAACATGCACACAGGAACACACACAAATATCGGTCAACGAAAAAAGACATATGTATACACACATACACACACACACACACACACATCTACACATACATATACATGCACACACTTGAGCACCAAACTTATCCACAGAGGCTGCAGGCAAACTTTCAGTTGAAATGGATGGTTCGGGGAAGGGTAGGATGACCAAGGAGTCTGAACTTTTCTTCGGTTAATGATGGATAGAAGCATGGATGGATGAATGAATGAATGAATGTATGGATGAATAGATGAATAGAGAAATGGATGAAGGAGTGGGAAGAATGAATGTATAGATGGATGATTGAATGGATTGACGTATTTATTTATATTATTATTGCGAATCTCTTGTCAACAAATCTCAGAGGTTTCAACATCAAGCACACAGTGCATGCAAATGCCCGTGAAACAACGCATCGCACACACATCGCATGTGATAGGCCGGGATCTCTTTGCAATCGAATTCGGTCACTCCAACAGTAGTGCCAGGCACTATACCGCAACGCCATTGCGCCACCGTGTATATGGAGAAAGGAATTTTTATGGGCGGGTGTGTGAATAGATGAATGGATGTTTTTGTTGCTTCAATTATAAAGAAAGCATGAATGACGAATCAGGTGTCGTGTTCGTCATCTCCCTCGGAGTGGTGGTCGGCATCATCGTGGGCTTCTTCCTCCTTATCAGCGTCCTCATCTATCAAAAAAAGTTCATTTGTTCATCTTGTTTGTTGGTCTGTTTGCTGGTGTGTGTGTGTGTTCGTTGATCTGTCTGTTTGTTTGTTTGATTGTTTGTTTGTTTGTTTGTTCGTTTGTGTGTTTCTACGTGTTTAACTCGAAGGAAACTTTCTCTTACGCAAACATTTCAACAACAACAACACACAACGCTCACAAACACACCCACGGATCATATGAGGGACCTTGATCTTTGCACTGGGAGCATTCGAAGCAGGTCAACACGTAATAACAACGCCAGTCACAGAAAACATACCGTTTGAGCTAATTCGCTAACATTTTTGCCTATGTGACTGCTGACATTCATTCGATTTTGTCATATTTCCATTAAAAACATGCCTTCCAATTTTGTTCAATATAGTCCGGCTTGTTTGTATATGATAAGGCTGATGTTTAAAATTATTCGTTGCCAAACATTTTCCTGATGTGCTGATGAAGTGAGTGACGGTTAATGATCATCAGCGTGAACGTTCTAACTTGGGCTTGTTGCTTCCCACACGTCGACCTCTCAACTGAACGTCTCAACTCTCACTCACTGCCAGACATTTCTTGCTGACACGCTGACAACCAACTCAACTCAACTCTCTTTTTTTCTAAACTATTTACTCCAAAATATTTAAACTATAACCACAACTGTACGAAATATTGTTACAATGAATAAAACTTAATTTTCCGCCAATTCACACTGAAGGTTGCCATTTTTTAAATGCAAACGTCCTCCGCCATTTTGTGCGAACAACGATGTAGGATTTTTGGGAACGACCGGATTTCTTGAGGATGAATCAGCAGTGAATGACGTGTTTCGTTGCAACAATCCCAGCAACATTGCAACCAGCCAGCAACAACAACAACAACAACATTTTTGCATGAGACATCTTGATGATCAACAGTTGTTTCAACGAGAAACCAAACAACATTTGTTGCAGGATGATCATTACTATCATCTGCAACAACAAAAACAACAAAAAACTGAATTTGCAGTGCAGATATGTTGCCAACATCGTCAACATTCTTATGAACAACAACCACAACAGCCACAACAACTTCATCAACAACAACCACAATCATTTAAATTAGTGGACCATCCAACAAATGCTGATGGTCACAACATGGAACCATCAGTAGCCATCCACGATTTATTGATCAAACAACATCAAACTAATTTGAATGACAGTAGCAAGATGATGGTTTCTCCTCTACATCATCATCATCACCATCTCCACTTCCCGCCAATTCTTTTCGGTTATGATGAGAATAGAGGTGGCACTGGTGTGGACAATATAAAAATGAAGAGTGATGAAGAACATCATTATCAACACCATCGCCATGATCGTCATCATCATCATCAAGTCAATCAGCATCATATAAATGAAATAGAACAACAACACCAACAACATCAACAAGATAACAAGATTAATTCAACTATATACAATCAACAACAACTACTTACATTACATCAACAACAACAACAAACACAGCATCAACAGCAACTACTTTCTCAACATCAATTGCAAACACATTCACATCAACTACAACAACTTCAACAACAACAATCTAAGTCATTGATTGATCATCCCTTTA